CACTCTTTGCTTCCTAGAACCATGTATTCTGCGTATTAAGGACACAGCACAGTATAGAAGTTACTGATTTAGCATGCATACCACATCCTGGAAGTTGGTGTCCCAACCTCAGTATATCATATCCAAGCTGGTATCTTAGCTGTGCCCTCAACAGGCCCTTCCATCATTCTGTCATGTTGGTAGCATCCAGAAGATGTGATGTGTGATAGAACCAGTAGGTCTCATGATCGTGTGCCACTGCTGAATCTCCTTGCTGTAAAGTGGGTCCTTTGGTCTGATGTAATGTTATATACAGAATCATGTTGGTGGATCAAACATTATGTAAGCCCTTAGGTATTGATGCTCCTAGAGGCCCCATGGGTAGGAAAGGCAAATCCATACCTAGAATACATGTATATGCCTGTTAGAACAAATCTTTGGCCCCTCCAGGGTGGAAGGGGCCTAATGTAGTCACCTTGCCACCAAGGTCTCCTTGAAAGATGGTGCCATATCAGTGGCTCAGCAATGTTGCTAGCATATGGGACATTTGGCAACATCAGTAGCTAGATCAGGCTTGGCATCAGTGAGAGCCCAGGCATAGCCTCCATCCCTGCCATTTTGGCTACTCCTCCATGAGTTCATCGTGCCAGCATTAGGGGAGCCCATGACAGAGGCCGACTGACATCTGCCCAAGTCATTTTGTCTACGTTGTTGTTTAGTGCCTCTTCTGTGATAGATGCGTTCTGATGGGTATTGTCATTTGATACGAAGATTTTCACACTTTGTATCTTCTCTCGTCAGTCCATTCACATGTCTTTACCCCAGACTTCTTAGTCCCCAATCTTCCAATCTTTCTATTTTAGGCCCCTGACCAACTGACCAAAACATTCATCACTACCCATGAAACTATATATATTGTAACCTTGGGCTACTTCTCTTTCCACACAGAGTAAATGACCAGGTACACCACCTGAAGCTCTGCCAATTGGGAGGATTTCCTCTCACAGATGTTTTCAAGGACACTCCTGATTGGACACTCCCGGATGGTAGTGCAGCTGCCATCCATTTTTGACTTGCACCCACATACCAGGCCAATTCATCTGTGAACCAAGCTTGATCTTATTCCTACTCTGTCAGTTAGCCATAGAGAACACCACCACCAACCCCCACTATGTGGCCACAGATGTGAGCTGAGGGAGAGATATCAGTGCATCAGTGGTGCATGACATGGGGGTCTGGTCACAGGTTCATGATCCATCAATACAGTGGACCACTGTGATATTCTGTGAGATGTCCAGCCAGTCCAGGTCTCTTCAGATTGCATTATGACAGAGAGTAGAAGAGTTAACATAGCCCTGGGAAAAGACTGTAAATGTATACTGTTATCTGTTCCAAAAGAACATAAACTGTTTCTGATCCTCTTTTTTGATAGAGATGGAAAAGAAAGCATTTGCCATCTCAGTGCCTGCCTACTCATACCTGAAGCTGTGTAATTCTGCTTTAGCAAAAGTACTATATCTGGCATAGCTGCTGCAATTGGAACTACTACTTGGTGGAATTTGTGATAGTCCCCTGTCACCATCCAGGATCCATCTGGTTTTTGCAAGACCCAGACTGGTGAATTAGATAGAGATACATTGGGGACCAGCATCCCTACATTCTTTAGATTTTTAAAGGTACTACTAATCTCTGACATTTCCCCAGGATGAAATGTTTTTGATTTATTGGCAGATGTGGGTGGTAGCAATAGAAGTTTTCACTTGGTCTTCCCCATTACAATAGTTCCTATCACACAGATCAAGAAACCAATGTGGGGTTTGTGCTAACTACCAAGTACATCCATTCTAATTACACATTTGGAGTCTGGAAAAATGACCACCATGAGCCAGACCTGGGTCAAGATTCCATTTATTACCTGACCACCAAATGCTCCACTAACAAGGAGGCCATGACGGTGTTTTGGGTCTCTGTGTATCAAAGTCAATCAGACCCTGTGACTGACTGTCCTTGAAATGTTTGAATATTCTCCTTTCCCCAGGATATGGTACCTGAGCAAATGTCCGTCAGGCCCTTTGGTTAAGCATTGGAGGAATCGGTGCTGCATATACTTGCCATGATGGTGCAGGGTCCTTATTCCAAAAGATCTAACCTCTCTCTTAGTCAGTGGATTCCAGGTCTGAAAACTGGCTCAGGTAAGGAAACTGGTCAAAGGGCTAATACTTTTTTCTTGAGGCAACTACCCTAAGTCTCCTGATCATTCATTCTTGATTTTTCTGATTGAATAGATTGAGCAATACCTTTGTTGGCTGCCAACTGTCATATTGTGCAATATTGTGATTTATAATAAGGAACATAGGGCCGGCCCCGTGGCTTGGTGGTTGGGTGCGCGCGCTCCGCTGCTGGCGGCTGTTCAGATCCCGGGCGTGCACCGACGCACTGCTTCTCCGGCCATGCTGATGCCACGTCCCACATACAGCAACTAGAAGGATGTGCAGCTATGACATACAACTATCTGCTGGGGCTTTGGGGGAAAAACAAAAAACAAACAAACAAACAAACATTATAATAAGGAACATATGTATTTGGTCTTCGTTTGTTGTTTCTGGCATAGAGCTCCTAAAACCCTTGGAATTTCCTGAGACGAAAGCCATACAGGTGTCTTTTGTTATGTTAATGAATGACTTTGGGACCACACCTAAGGATGTTTGCCAGTGGAGCCAAGCGTGTGATTAGAGGGTTGGAACTTCCAATCCCACCCCCTGACCTCCAAGGAGGGGAGACGGGCTGGAGAAGAGTTCAGTCACCAATGGCCAGTGATTTAATCAATCCTGTCTATGTAATGAAGCCTCCATAAAATCCCCAAAGGAATGGGGTTTGGAACGCTTCCAGGTTGAGGAAACAGAACCGTCTATGTGCCACCATGACAGGCCCTAAATTCTATGAGGATAGAAGCTCTTTTGTTCAGGACCTTGCCCTATGTGTCTCTTCATCTGGCTGAAGTTATACCCTTTTATAAGAAACCAGTGATCTAGTAAGTAAAATGTTTCTCTGTGTTCTGTGAGAAGCTCTAGCAAATTAGTCGAACCCAAGGAGGGGGACATTAGAACCTCCAACATGTAGCCAGTGGGTCAGAAGCACAGGTAACAACCTGGGCTTGTGATTGACATCTGGAGTGGAGGGCAGCCTTGGGGGACTGAGCCCTTAACCTGTGGAATCTGATGCTGTCTCTAGGTAGCTAGTGTCAGAATGGAGTTGAATTGGAGGACACCCAGCTGGTGTCGGAGACTTGCTGGTTGGTGTGGGGAAACTCCCCACAACACATTGGAAATGGGTGCAAAACTCTTACCAACTATCTTACCTCTAGAGATGCCATCTCCATAACTCTTTGCCCATTAGGTTCCCCTGGATTCCATTCTGACCTTGCTGTTCATTATGATAATTGCACCATCTGGCTTTTGATGGCTGAGCTCTGCTACCTGGCCTCTTAAGGCCTCTTAAGAGGCCTTCAAGCCAAAGGAAAGCATTAGTTCTTAAGGAGTGGGCCTTTTCTATAGGTTCAGAGAGTTCAAGACTGTCTGGGGATTTAAGACCTGAATGTATCAACCCAGATGTCCTCATCTCTCAGGGTCCTACTTTTTCCCAATCAGGGCCCTAACTTTGCATAACAGACTTGACTAGGTTGACAATTTAACATTCTTGAACTCTGCTATTTTTTTTTTTTAACGTTATTTATTTATTTTTTCCCCCAAAGCCCCAGTAGATAGTTGTACGTCATAGCTGCACGTCCTTCTAGTTGCTGTATGTGGGACACGGCCTCAGCATGGCCAGAGAAGCGGTGCGTCGGTGCGCGCCCGGGATCCAAACCCTGGGCCGCCAGTAGCGGAGCGCACACACTTAACCACTAAGCCACGGGCCAGCCCCTGAACTCTGCTACTCTTAGGATTGCATCCTGGGCCTGGGCCTCAGCTTTTTCCGCCCTTCCACTACAGAAGAGACTTTCTTAGCATGCTGCCAAAGAGGCCCATTGGTTTTCACATTTACCTTTTAATTAATCATCCTCGGCCTTTCACTGTCTCTTTTAAAACCATTAATTGCCTCCAGCAGTAGCCATCCAATATCATTGTCTTTATAATTACTACTTCTCCATATTTCTCAAATGCCTGATACATTGCACCCTGGTGTACTTTCTTCCTCTGCACACCATCTCAGTTTGTCATCAATCTAAGTTTTAACAACTACACTGCTATTCTGTGCCTGTGCTGCATCTACTGCCAGGGATGGGGTCCTCTTTGCCAGCCAGGAAGCAGGTGATCTAGCTCGCAAATCGCATTTTAGCGTCTGATTTCTACCTGTCCTGGCTCCAACTGTCCCAGGTTGGGTTCTCCATGGAGCAAACTCTGAGATGAAAACTAGTATGCAGAAAGTTTCTAAGGGAGCACTCTCAGGATAGTCACCTGTGAGGGGAAAGGAAGGAAGCAAAACTATGTAAAGGAAGACATTGAGCTGCATAGCAGTGCCAACAAAGCCTCAGTTGACCCCTCCAGGAGCTCTGAATCTGTGATGGCCCTTCTGAGTTGCTCCAAGTCCAGGGAGGGGCCTGGCATTCATACACCCACATCAACCAGTCGCTGGGTGCAGGCTGCCCTGAGAAAGAGGTATGACCTTGGACAAGGTGGCTCTCTTCAGCAGAGATTAATTTGAGTAAGTCCTCAATTGTGAAGAGGGGATCTAGACGATACAGAACAGGATCCGTGACAATGATGCTGACAAGCTTTTCAGAACCAAGAGGAGGAGAGATGGGAATAGCCTTCGAGAAGAAGTGCTTGGACGAGAATAACCCTCTCGCTGCAGCATGATTGTTTTCTTTATCTGCCAGTTAATAGGATTTGATTCTAGTTAGAAAATTTGCTCTCACTGTAAAATAATTTTACAGACATTTTGTTGATGAGACTTCTAGAAACATCTGAACAAAAATAATTATTTCATGAGTTTACAACAAGAGATCCCAAACAGCTTAACCCTTTGATTATACTTCTGCTTTAATAGAGGAACATTTGAAAATACACAGATATCCACAAGAAAAGGGAAAGTGGTGTGAGGTCCTGAGAGCACAATGTGCTTTAATTTGGGTCTTAAGTTTCTAATTGTAACAGCAATTATACTTCTAAACAAAGGATGTCCACTAGCTCTGCAAACACATCAATAGTAACATTAGAACAATACACTTCACACTGTAAAACATGTCAGATGCCCACTCTAAATTCACTGTGTGTTTCATCTGGGTTTTTTCATAACAAAAGGGGTATATCTATAATTCACAATCAGCATCAGCTTCCTGAAGACTTCAGTATGAACTCCTGCCTGTCAATTTGCTTCTCAAACTGAATTTTTTAAAAACAGTGTAATTTATTCTTTAAAGCAATTTTATAGACATGAAGAGTCTAGTTAATTCATAGTGATGTTGGTTGAATGTGATACAAAGGAAACATAGGTGTTTTCCAGGACAATAGGATAGATAACGGAAGCTTTAAGAATTCATGAGAAAAAAAAGTGATAAAACTTAAACTTTTTCAGGTGTTTTAAAATTTCTATAAAACTTTTTGTCCCAAAATTAATCTTTTAACCATGGTACACAAAATATACTGAATACATTGCCTGGCATCAAGGTAGGAGACCTTCTCTTTTATATAATAAAATTCTCTTCTGGTCCATCTTGACCCAAGTCCTGGTTGTCTGAGGGCAGATTTCTCTCCCTAGACCTAAACTTGTAATAAAAAGCATCATTTTCATCTACTGGTTGGTATTCCTGCTCGATGTCTGTTAGGAAGCCATTTCCAGAGCCACTGCCAGATCCTGCTCCAGAGCCGGAGCCTGATCCAGAATAGTCCTCAGAGAGAGGGAAGACATCATTCAAGTTCTGGGATCTTGTCATTCTGAAGTAAGAGAGAAAAATGAAAAAAAAAAACACAGTAAAGTTTGAGACATAAGGAAGATAACCATAACAATTTTTTTAAGATAAGAAAATAAATGCAGTCACCCAGTTGCTCAAAATAAAAGTGATAAGTTTCCCAGTTACTCAATGCTTTAAAACAAAAAACAAGTCAGACCTTTCCACGTCTTTGCCTATATGTATTTATTGTACCTAGCTCTTTGCATTTATCGGTTCCATATCTACCCGTTGCAGGTTCACATAAACAATGCTGGTTTTCTTATCACTAGCATAGCAATTTTACATTTGGAATTTACTTAAGGAGTCATTTATTTTTAAAAAAAGACCTCTTTTTCTCCCACTAAAGAAAAGACAAACAGATAAGTCATCCTAGATAGATTACATTTTTTCCTAATTTAAAATTTCTGCAAAACTTCTAATAATTCACAGTGCTTCAACAAAGCTTGCTCTTAAGAATTTTTTTAACAAGTTAAGCATTATGTTTGCCAGCATATTAACATTCAATTTGCTCCCAAAAAATAAGTGCGTGCATTCAGCTTAGAAGTTCAGTGTGGAGCTTAGAAGTCCACTCAGCACCAAGAGACCAGAGCAATGGTGCCAGCCCTCAGTGGCAGAACAAGGCAACAAAGCATTAGAGGCAAAAGTTGAGTTTCACAGACTATGGGTCATTTTCTCCATGAAAATAATAAACCACAAGCCATACAACAGATTAAGAGTTTCATTCATGCATGCAGTCGATAAATATTTATTGAACAGGTGATCAGTGTTCTGAGTACCTGGGATAGAATGGGAACAGAGAGATGAGGTCCCTGCTCGAGTTTATAACTTATTGGGGAAGACAGATAATAAAATGTGAATAAATAAATCAGGAAAATATTAGGTGGTACTAAATGCTATACAGAGAAATGAAATAGACTAGTGTAAAGTAATAGACCAGGTGGCTATGAGGTTTAGACTATGAGGTCAGGGAAAAGGGTCAGAGCTGCAAATACAGATTTGGTAGTTACACACACACACACACACACACACACACACACACACATGCACACACACATTGTATTTATTTGCTATTAAAAGCCATGGAACAGGATGAGGTCACCTAAAGAAAGCATGCAGATAGAAAAGAGGCCCAGGACAGAGCCACGGCCACACCAACATATTAAATATCAAGTGGAGGAGAAAGAACAAGCCAGGGAAGAAGGAAATCCAGGATAAGGTGGGGCCATGGAATCCCAGAGAAGAAAACCAAACCACCAAAGCAAGAGCCTGAAGAAAAAACCTCTGGACAACCCTCCCACCTCCATGCCAAGAGCTCAACAGAGGTTGGTGAAAGTAAAATCAGAGACAGTCCACTTACGAAAAAGGGCCTGTCCTGGGAGGGAGGATTCTGTTGGATTCACCGGGCAGTAGATCAAACACTGGTCCTTTTTCATCAATGCAGTTTGCAGAATTACTGTCGGGACTGCAGCGGACCCACTGGTACCTGGCTCTCTGCACAGGAATACCTGCCCAAAAAAGGAATACACGTGGTTAACAAGTATCTCTTACACAGCTTCTAATCATTCTATCCCTAAGAAATTTTTAATTAAATAGTTTCTAAATTTGGTAGAAGGTAAGGTATGGACAGGCTTTATGATCATTAATGTAACAGGAGCACCCACTACATGCCAGACTTTTATATACATCGTTTGTCCTTCTCACAACACCCCTATAAAGTCGCTCAGGGTTTACGGTAAGAAGAGGCTTCGGCAATCAGCCACTGGGAGGGAAGTCCCAGTTCTGTCACTGAGAACTGTGAAACCTTCACTTCCCTGAGCCCCTGCTATAAGACAAAGGTACTAATAACATCTCTTTTTCATATGCTGGTCACCAAAATTAAATGAGAAAATGCATGTAAAGACCTTAACATAGTGTCAGGCACACAGTAAACACTTGATAATATTAATTATTATTATTTTTGTACTATTATCTTCATTTTACACACAGGAAAACTGAGGCCATACAGGTGCTAAGTAGACGACCCAGGATTCAAACCTGTATCTGCCCCCAAAGCCTGCTTCTTCTTATAGAGACGAGTCAAATCATGTTCAGACAGGTTAAGGAATACACCAAGTAGTACCCGAGACATTATAGAGCCCTTGTTCTTTAGGGCCATATGGCGTTCTTAGGAATGAAAAGTAGACAAAAACTTAGCCTCTTTGTTTGCCCTCAGATCTAGTCAGAGATTTCAAAAGAACAAGGCTGGGGCCAGCCCCGTGGCTTAGCGGTTAAGTGCACGCGCTCCACTGCTGGCGGCCCGGGTTCGGATCCCAGGCGCGCACCGACGCACCGCTTCTCTGGCCATGCTGAGGCCGCGTCCCACATACAGCAACTAGAAGGATGTGCAGCTATGACATACAACTATCTACTGGGGCTTTGGGGGGAAAATAAATAAAAATAAAATCTAAAAAAAAACAAAAAACAAAAGAACAAGGCTTCTCTATTCACAGAGGGAGCGACAGGTTGGAATATCCTAGTCTGTCACAGCTTCTTTTGTGTTTAATTTCTACAGAAAAGACTCCAAATCTGGTGTTATGAGGTTATACAGGAGATCCTTTATTAGTTCCTGAAATACATTCTTCTTTCCTCAATTCAGCAAGGATGGACGCCTGGTGGTGAGAATTACTTCACCACCGTTCAAACGCGTCATCTCCTCCCCGCCCCCAAGCACTTACTTTATTCACATAAGTGCTGTTAATATTCATCTAGCAAGAAGGGGCTTGTCTAGAATTCTTGAATGGCAGGAAAGGTGGTTTTAAAGCCCATCACATTGTTGTCCTGTACAGATCAAAATGTAAATGATAACAACTATTTAAGAAAGAAACAAAACAAAAAACAGTGCTATGGACAATCACTGCAGCATTTTTTGTAATAGCAACAGATTGGAAAATTAAATGATAGTAAATTAAGTTATAGCCAAGAAACTATACAGCTGTTAAAAGAATGAGGCAGTGCAGCTCCCTGGGTACTGATATAGAATAGTCTCTAAGTTATATAATTAAGTAAAAAAAATTAAGGAACACTATGCATTGTGTGTTACCATTTGTGTGTGTTTGTGTTTTTAAGAATATATTAACATATATGCTTATATGCACAGAACACCTCTGAAAAGATACACAGCAAACTGATTGCCTTTGTGGAGGGAATTGGTGGCTGGAAGACAGTGGAAGAAAGGACATTGACTTTTCACTGCATATCCTTTTGAGTTTTAAGCTATATGTATGCATTATTTACTCAAAATTAATTATTTTTATTCTTTAACAGCTTCGTTAAGGTGGAATTGACATACAATAAGCTGTAATATTTAAAGTGTACAACTTCAGGTTTTGACATGTGTATACACCCATGGAACCATCACCACAATCAAGAGTCTGAACATATCCAACACCCTCCAAAGTTTCTTTGTGCCCCTTTGTAATCCTGCCCTTTTCCCTCCCTCCTCCTGACTCTCCCTCAACTCCCACAACCATTAATCTGCTTTCTGTCATTATAGATTAGTTTGCATTTTCTAGAATTTTATATAAATGGTCTCATACAGCAACTTGTCAAAGGGTTTCTTGACTTTATTTTAACTCAGGCACTAGTTGAGAAGGGTCGCTACCTTTCACATTACTCTCTCCTCAAAATGGAGAGTCTATTTAAATATTACTTACATCTGGACTGCTTTTGTTGCAATTTTTAAAAATAAAATTTGTGTTAGAAAAGGAATATGTATTCATTATAGAAAATTTTGGAAAATGTAGCAAACAAAAGAAAAGAAAAATTACCCCCTAATCTCATTACTCAACCCCCCAGAGATAATGAATTTTGGAGTTTTGATGTTTTTTCCCCTGAGTGTCTCTGTTTCTAGGATAGCATACACAAGTTGTATCCTGTTCTTTTGTGACAGCAACCATCAGTGGTTGAAAACTGGAACCTCTACCGAGGTCAGGTTCACTGTACATCTCTATAGGATGGCCAAGGACTTTGTTCTTAAAAGACTGCAGAACCACAGAACTTTCTCAAAATGTCCTCTTTCCTCATCACTCTCCATTATGTCTATTCATACTCAATGTTGTCCTAGCTAGTATCTCTGATTAATTTTATAAATGCAGCATTGCCAAGTTATCACATCATTAAGATATACATGATATGTATTTATATATATCTATATAGAGAGATATAGATAGATAAAATGTAATATATAAAAAATACATGAAGCTGTTCACCTTAGTGTTATTTAAAATAGGGAAACAGGAAATAACTAAATAATCAAAATAATAGAAAATACTCAGATAAATTATGAGGCATTCATATGAGAGAATATTAACCAAATGGTAAGAAAAGCAGTAGTTATGGAAAAGACTATGTAGCATCATAGGAAAATCTATATTTAAAACTGAGTGAAAAAAGCAGAATACCACTCTGTACACATAATAGTTGTTAATGCAACTACGTAAGCAGATATCGGGGGGAATGGAAGGAAATACACAAAAATGACTATAGTGGTAGACTCTTGGTGATTTTTTCTCATTTGTTTTCTAAATTGCTGTAATAAAAAATATTTTAAAACATAAACAAAAGAAAGACTCTAAATATTCTCCCTTTTTTTGTCTTCCTTCTTCTTCCTTTCTTCCTTCCTTCTTTCCCTCCTTCCCACCTTCCTGCCTTCCTGCCTTTCTGCCTTCCTAACTACTATTCTATCACAATCTTCCCCATGGTTCCTGAATATAGCTTACAATGTCTGGTCTGGGGCAGCTAGTCATCCATAATGGGTTAGCTCTGTCACTGCCTGGAGGCTAGAAGTAAAGTAGCAAGATGACATCACGTCTGCCCCTTACTAGCTGTGTGACCTTGACCAGTTTACTTAACCGCCCTGTACCTCATTTTCCTCATCCATAAAATGGGGACAGTAATAGATCAAATAATGAGATATAAATGTTAGGTTCTTAGAATAGTACATAGCACCATGGTCAGAGCTCATTAGATGCTAGTTTCTCTGATGAAGAGGATGACAACGACCTATCTCTGAGAGTGGACAGCTTGTAGAGAGACCAGAGTTTAAATTCCTGTTCTACCATTTAGTACCTCTTTGATTCTCAATTACTCATCTTTCAAATGTGAGTAACAGTATCCCAAAGAGTTCCTGTTTGTTTTTTTTTTTGTGAAGAGATCAGCCCTGTGCTAACATCTGCCAATCCTCCTCTTTTTTTTTATGCTGAGGAAGACTGGCCCTGGGCTAACATCTGTGCCCATCTTCCTCCACTTTATATGGGACGCTGCCACAGCATGGCTTGCCAAGCAGTGTGTCAGTGCGCAACCAGGATCCGAACCGGCAGACCCCAGGCCGCCGCAGTGAAGCGCGCACACTTAACTGCTTGCACCACCTGGCCGGCCCCAAGAGTTCCTGTTTAACCGAGGTAAAAGTATATGAAACACCTAGCACAAGCCTTTGCACATGGGAGGTATTTAATACGTTTTAGCTCATTCTTTCTCCTTCTCTGATTCTTTCCTGAAGCAGCATGTTTGTCATGGAATTGCTCCTTAGAAGCCTGTAGGTGAGATAAACATGCAACATCTCTTCCAGCAGAGGGCGATGTCTTCACACTCTCTGCTTCTAGACCAGCGCTGTCCAATAGAAACGTTAAGACGAACCACATGCGGACTTTTCAACGTCATTCAGTCATATTTTAAAAAGTGAAAAGAAACAAGTGAAATTAATGTTAATACATTTTATTTAAACCAATATATTCAAATATTGTCATTTAACATTTAAACAATATAAAATTTAAGGGATATTTTACATTCTTTTTTTCATATTAAGACTTCAAATCTAGCGTATATTTTGCACTTACAGCATGTCTCAATTTGGACTCGCCACATTTCACACATTTCAAATGCTCAGTAGCCACAAGTGTCTCGTGCCTTTCGACAGAGCAGGTCTAAACATTCTCCTCTACACTCAGCTGATGTGCTGGATATCAAGCTGAGGAAATGTTTGCATAGGTGGGAAGTTAAACAGAAAAATAAAACTTATGCTTTATGAGGATGCATCCAGGTGAAAGACCACATCTCTTCACTGGTATAACAAATACAACTTTGGTAAATAAGTAAAAAAGAAAAAATTCTAAAATACAAAATTCCTCCCAGAGTTCAGAATCTCAGCTTTTAAAATTTATAAAGAGGGATTTCTTTTTTGAGGTGATGAAAATGTTCTAAAATTGCCTATGGTGATGGTTGCACACATCTGTGAATATACTAAAAAACCATTGAATTGTACACTTTAAAGGGGTGAATTGTATGGTATGTGAACTCTATCTCAATAAAGCTGTTTAAAAATTTATAAAGAAATCAGAGGTGGAAGTCTCCCCCAAAAAAACTTTATCTACTTTGGGACTGTTTATTCTAAATCTACTTTGAAATAAAGAACATGGTTATAGAGACAAAGTTCCTGACATATCTATTCAAGGGTGTTGGTAGGATGTGAAAATTCAACAGTTCCAGCCCCTGATGTTGTGGGAGTATCTTGACTCTGTCTTGCTTGAGAGAAATGTCTTATGATTGCCATAATTTAAAAAATAAAAGGGAGTATGCTCATGGACAGAAAAGTTATCTTCCTAAAAGGCCCCGCTTATGGGGTCTGCTGGTTAATTTTGTGGTGGATTCCAAGGAAAAGAATGGTTTTTATTTAGAATTCCTTTCCTCACTCATCATCCCCCTCACCTCTCTGTCTCTCTCACACACATACACACACACAGTTATTAGTCCTGCTTTACCAAAATACTATGAACAAACATAACCACAGCAAATAACTCACCCTCGTAATCTGTATCTTTTTAAATTATAGTACCAATTTTTTCCCATCATCATCACAATTTACTAATTTCATATTCTTAATGGAGACTTACTGCAGATGTGGTAGAAAAACTTAAGCAGAAACTGCTATGTGGGCAGGGACCGTTTTGATTCATTGTTTGGTAGCATTCAAACAGACTTCACTATCTAAGCTGAAGTTGCTTCCTACTGGCCAATCAATTCCACAAGATGGATAGGGTTCCCCCGCCCTTGCGTGGTTTGACAAGCTATAAAAAGCTCTAAGTTTACTTTCAATTTCTCCCTCTCTATCCCTCAACTCAGTGGTAAGCTTTATAGCAAGGGCTACAGTCAAAGCAAGGATTTTTGTTTTAAATAAAGAAAACCTCTAATCCACCTAGGAGACAGCCAAGTTGCCGTAGAAAGTTAACTCTGACCTTGAAATCAGCTCACCGGTTCTGCCACTAATTAGTTGTAAAGAGCCTTGGGCAAGTCTCATAAACTTTTTGCAAGAGATTGATATAAAGAGCGAATGAGATGATGCATCTAAGATCCAGTTTTCTCCTCTATAAATTGGTGTTAATTCCTCCTCGTAGGGAGTGTGATGGTCATTTACCAGAGAATAGATGGGAAATCATTTTACAGTCAAACAGCAGCATACATGGGTGGAATCAATATCGTTACTGTCATCTAGGAGACAGTGTAGAGTGAACACATGGTCTGGCCCTGACCCCCTTGGCCACACCTCCTCACAGATTTTCCGTTTTCTCTCTTTATGGGCATCTTTGAAAAAAAGAAGCAATAAAAGAGTTTAGGATTGACAGGCCTCATCAATAATCCCCTGGAGCTCTACGTTAAATCTATTAGTCATCGGTGCTCTCCAGGGTCTCCCACACATTGCCAAACTTCCATTTCTTTGCACTCAGAAGACATAGTATTACACCATGTCTTTACTTGGGTTTGACTTATAGTAACCAATACAGGCCGAATTGTGTCCCCCTCCCAATTCATATGTTGAAGTCCTAACTTCCAGTACCTCAGAATGGAGCTGTATTTGGAGATAGGGCCTTAAAAGAGGCAATTAGGGGGAAAGGAGGTCATATGAAGGAGGCTTAATCCAATATGGTATAACCATAATAAGAAGAGGAGATTGGGACACAGACACACACATAGGAAAGACCATGGGAAGAGACAGAGAGAGGACGGCCATCTACCAGCCGAGGAGAGAGGCTTCAGAATGATACTAACCCTGCGGACACCTTGATCTTGGACTTCTAGCCTCCAGAACTGTGCAGAAATAAACTTCTGTTATTTAAGTCTCCCAGTCTGTGGTACTTTGTTATGGCAGCCCTAGCAAACTAATACCTTAGATGTTTTGAATATGTTCAGTAAAAGCAAGCCAAAAGCCTAGTTAATTTGATCAGTTCAGTCAAACCAATGGAGTAAGTAAAAATTTTTCAATGGTGGGGAAAGAAAGCTATCGAATCATATCTGGCATCACATGGATGTATGGTGAAATAGTGGCATGGCTCTCTGCACTGCAGCCTTGAGCTGCCATCACTTACACACAGCTGTGGGTGGACGTCTGTTTCCCTTCTTATTCAGATGTGGGCAGAAACCCTTAATTCCAACACCAAGTGTACTTCTCCTTTGGAAACACCCTAATTTTTTAGTTCATTCATTCTCTCGTTTTTGGTTCCTTCTCCACAAAGAGCTAAACTTGCCAGATGATGACATAAATGCTTGTACTTTATACAATTTCATAATGGTCCCTTTCTTCACTTCTTTCTTTTTTTTTTTTTTAAAGATTTTATTTATTTTTTGCCCCCAAAGCCCCAGTAGATAGTTGTATGTCACAGCTGCACACCCTTCTTTTTTTTTTTTTTTTAAAGATTTTATTTATTTATTTTTCCCCCAAAGCCCCAGTAGATAGTTGTCTGTCATAGCTGCACATCCTTCTAGTTGCCGTATGTGGGACGCGGCCTCAGCATGGCCGGAGGAGCGGTGCGTCGGTGCGCACCCGGGATCCGAACCCGGGCCGCCGGCAGCAGAGCGCGTGCACTTAACCGCTAAGCCACGGGCCGGCCCTGCACACCCTTCTAGTTGCTGTATGTGGGACTCGGCCTCAGGATGGACAGAGAAGTGGTGCCTCGATGCGCACCCGGGATCCGAACCCGGGCCACCAGCATCGCAGCGCGCGCACTTAACCACCAAGCCACAGGGCCGGCCCAACTTCTTTCTGATGAATACCTACTACATAAGGAATGTCTTTGTTTTAATTCTAGTTTTACCTCTTGAATTTTAGTGGGGAATGTGACATTTCTGGGAAATTTTGACGATATAAAGACATATCATTCTGGTTGGGGTAGACCCAGCACCAACTGGTCACTCAAGTCTATGCTACAAACACGGACCTCACTGCTCTGGATCTTGTCAGCACACATTGGGGAATTATTTCATCAAGCTGAAGATTTTCCCTAAAAGATCCACCTGCTCCCTACAATCAACAATGTTTTATACTTTAGAAGATTAGTGGAAAAGTTTCAGCAACATTACTTGCTGCTGTTTTCTTCAACAATCATATAAGATGAGAGTGACTTTATAAATTTCCAATACATAATAAATATATCTGAGATCATCTGTACAATTTCATTTCCACCAGAAGTAAAAACGAGTCAACTAGAAGTCACTTTGAAGAAACAAATCCAGGATGTGTGTCACTATGACTCAGTATTTCCTTTACGATTTGGGGGAACTTAATGTTTTTCTACTATAAATTCTCCCATCTATTTATCAGGCCATGACCTTCTGCCTTATTTAGACATGATCCTTTATTTACCAAAGAAGAAATTGTATTTTTCTTACAAACTGATCATTTTCGTTTCCTTTGTCATTAAAGGTTTTAAGTTGTTTCAGTCTGACTAAACAACCCTAAATGATAGAGAAGCTTAGGTTTTTAACAGAAATTTCCAAATGTGATGTTTCTCTGAGCAACAGCACAAATACTAAAATTCTTTGGCTTCTCTTTAAAATCTGAGAGGGTTTGCATTAACTGTGTCTAACCATAATTGAATTTCCACTAAGAACCAAGTTAAAAAAAAGAAGAAAAAATACACGCAGTCAAATTTGCTGATTAAAAACATAGAATTTCCCAGTGTTACAATAATTATGACACCACTGTAATGTATTAAAACTTGGGATTGACGTAGATACTTGGCAGTAGGTAGATCTCCAAACCACTCAAAGGTGCCATCTCCTCTATGCAACAGACACATGGGTCATTTTCTATATTCCTTTCTTGAGCTTTTAAAAATTTATGAACCATACATTTTCATCCAAATATAAAATAGCGCATTTCAATCATCGTAAGAGTTTACAAGGACACACTTGCCTCAGAGTTTAATTTTTCCTGGAACCAAACTTAACCAAACTCACATTAGGGAGTTCAGACACCCCAAATCCTTTTTCTTTGCTTACTCTTCCACAATAGAATACATTCTGTACCTTAAAGTGAATAGAATCATTTGTGTGGACACTGAGGCTTACAAAGGAGATTACAGGGGGACAAGATTTCTGAGTCTTACCTTGAATGGAAGAATCCAAAACGAGGATGAGGGCGAGAGCCAGGATCAGCCTACTGCCCTGGAGAAGCACCTGCATCGTGGCCAGCTCGCTTCAGCTCTATGGCCTGGACGCCAACCTCACGATTAGGAAATGTAGCAGGGTGCTCTCTGTCCCTTTTAGAAAAGGTTCCAAAACCTCAAACCCTGCCCAGAAAACACGTCACAATTTCCTGAACAAATAGAAAGAGATCTACATCAAAACTCAGAAAGATTAAAAAAAGGCAGCAGAATAACTATTCATACCCATTATGAAACTGCACTGGACTCTCCCCAGGTCTGCTTTTTCAAGTTTTGTTGTTTGCCACTTGCCTGGCAGAAATTTTTTTTCCCCGCTAAAACAGTAGAATCAGCATTCAGCACAGTTTGTTTTTCCTTTCATCAGGTAAAAAGCTAAACACGAGATGGCTCACATGAAGGGTCCAGCGCACTGTCAATGAGATGAGGGAGCTAGGTGCTGCCTTTTCATCACTGAGCACCTTCAACATAAAATATTCATAATTGTCTTTTTCATCAGGAGCAGCATAACTTGCTGAGCCAAGCTAAAGAAATGGAACTTCAAAGCTGAGTTCTAATTTACAAGAAAGTGTTGTCAGATTTCAGATAACCGGTTTCTTCTTATCGGGCTCAATTTCTTCCATTGGATCACCAGCTCTCCCTCTACCTCAAGAATACAGGGAGGATTTTGGGTTATGAAGAACTGGGTAAAATAGAAAAATGACTTTGCATTCCTCTGCCCTTTCACACTGAGTATTTCTTATGATTTGATTCCATTTATACTTTCATCCTTTCTCCTGGTAAAATTTTTCAACTTGATTTTTGGGTCCTCTGGCCTCAAATAAGCCAGAAATCAGAAACAAGGGGAGGGTGTACTCGTAGTGGGCTGCTGGACCACAAAAAACGTGCAAACCACTGCCCCCTGCGAATAAAGGAACAGCATTTTCCCAGGTCCTGGGGATCGTGAGCAGACTTCTGGAGGACTGAGGAACACCGGGTACAGGCTCCACAGTAAAGTCACACAGTGAACACAACAGTTTATCACGTGTCCTTGCTCTTGGGGCACATACTTTTTCCTTACTTCCATTCAGCATTCAACCACTCTCCGTTTCAACACGTCTGTACCTACAGCTCCCACTTTTCATTTTCACCCTCACTCTTCCCTGTCCTTTGACAGGAGGGAGGAGTTTCCTTTCCCTTGTTTTCGGCTTCCTGCTGATTCCTTTACCATTTCCTGCTAAGGACAGGCCTCAGAATCTAATAGCTGAGCAGCTGTGGTGCAAGTCCACAAGGGTTACAAAGAATGCACATTTTGACCCCCCTCAGAACCAGCTGGAAGTGTGTCCAGGGACTCCTTCGAGTGCAGTCACCAACCCCAAAACTCACAAACCCAAGGAGTTCCCTGCTACAGAATACTGGTTTCAGCTTGAAATAACAGCTCTCATCTTTGGTCCCTTTTAACCCTATCTCCCAATTATCACCCTGGCACCAAAACAATAATTTCTGTCAATAGCTTCAATACGTTCCCTGAAAAACGTCTGAGCTGATTAGAGCTTGTGCTTTAAAATGGTAATTTTGGAGGCTTTTTCCACTTGGGTACTTCATTTTTTCCTTCTCTGGGTCATGGTGATGTTTTAAAAAAATTTGCAGCATTCATAAGCATTTGTGCTTCTCCCACTACACTGACAGCCAAGGATTTCTTTTTGCAAGTCGCCTCCCTCCAGTTTCATTTCCCTAGTTCTCTTCAAGCTATAGAGGAGCAGGACAAATGCACGTGGCAGCCAGAAGCCCAGGTTCCGAGCTTATCTCCCTCACTGACCAGCTGAGAGGTGCCGGACCACCTACTCTTGGCTCCCGTCAATCTAGTTCTTTTTTTTTTTTTTTTTTTTTTGTGAGGAGGACCAGCCCTGAGCTAACTTCCGATGCCAATCCTCCTCTTTTTTTGCTGAGGAAGACTGGCCCTGGGCTAACATCCATGCCCATCTTCCTCCACTTTATATGGGACGCCGCCACAGCATGGCTTAACAAGCGGTGCGTCGGTGCACACCCGGGATCCGAACCGGCGAACCCCGGGCCGCCACAGCGGAACGTGTGCACTTAACCGCTTGCGCCACCGGGCTGGCCCCATCATCAATCTAGTTCTAACGATGGTGTGGGAAACCAATGAGAGGATGCCCACAAAAGCCCATGGCACACACTGCGAGGGTCGTGTTGGCAACGCTTCTCTGGGCTGGGGACCATCTTCCTGTGCAGTTTCCTCCATTAACCAAAGGGAATCCCTATATTTCCCTAAACTTCAACCTCTACAATAAGCATATTTTGCATAATTTTAAAAGACAAATTCTTGGGCCGGCCCCGTGGCTTAGCGGTTAAGTGCGTGCGCTCCGATGCTGGCAGCCCGGGTTCGGATCCCGGGCGCGCACCAACGCACCGCTTCTCTGGCCATGCTGAGGCCACATCCCCCATACAGCAACTAGAAGGATGTGCAGCTGTGACATACAACTATCTACTGGGGCTTTGGGGGAAAAAAAAAAAAAAAAATTTAAAAGCCCAGCCTCTGGGACTTGAGTCTTCACTCAGAAGGTCTTGACTTTGAACTGGGCGCTGCACCAGAAAAACAAACAGCAAATAGATCCTGTACCAAATCTATATGTCTCTGGAGGCTTCAAGGATGAGCTTAGAAGAGACCTTAGACATCATCTACTTCACCCGCTCAGGTGGGAAAAGTGCAAGTCCAGAAAGGTACATGACTTGCTGCTGGTCACGCAGCTGGTGAGTGGCAAAACCAGGTCTAGAGCTCAAGTTTCTTAATTCAAAGTGCCGTGACAGATGAAGAATGATGAGGAAACAAGATTAAGATTTGTAAATCATCAGAAGTCTTCCTTTCAGTAATTTTGGAATGAGAAAATGACTGGGATTCGCTTCTAAATAATCCAGTCTGAGGAGGGGGAATGAGAGAGGTATAGCAGTGGGCTGATAATTGCTGAACTGAGCAGTGGGCAGATGGAGGTTCTTTATACTAGTCTTCCTACTTTAATACATGTTGGAGAATTTCCATAATAAAACACTTTTTAAAGAATCAACCGGGGGCCGGCCCCATGGCTTAGCAGTTAAGTGCGCTCGCTCCGCTGCTGGCGGCCCGGGTTCGGATCCTGGGTGTGCACCGACGCACCGCTTCTCCGGCCGTGCTGAGGCCGTGTCCCACATACAGCAACTAGAAGGATGTGCAACTATGACATACAACTATCTACTGGGGCTTTGGGGAAAAAAGGAGGAGGATTGGCAATAGATGTTAGCTCAGAGCCAGTCTTCCTCAGCAAAAAGAGGAGGATTGGCATGGATGTTAGCTCAGGGCTGATCTTCCGCACACACACAAAAAAAGAATCAACCTTTTAGAAAGATATCTTAATCTTATTTGAAGTCAATGTAAATAAGAAAACATCTCCTGACTTAAAAAGGATCTTGCAGGAAAAAATATATATATTTTTAAAAGCTCCTCCTTTATTTATGGATCTCAGCACCTTTGAGTTTCCCATTCTTTCAGTTTTACTCTCATTTCCACCTCCTCCCCTTTAGTAAATGGGGAGGCTGTGGCCGAGACAGAAAAGTATCTTGATACTTCTGCTCGTGGATGTCCTGGGAATGGGCACAGGCTCACGGGCATCCCAGCTGGGCCAGTGGCTCCTTCACTAGCTCCTCCCTTCTCATCACTGTAGCCACACATCCAGTTTCCCAGGAGCAGGATCCCCCCTTGTGGAAGGTCTCCACTGCCCTAGTCCAGAAGCCGCCCCAGGTGTTGCCAAGTACCTAAAAGTTTGAGAACTTCAGTATTTTAATCTTGGACTGGGAATGGGAGAGGGAAAGAGCTCCCCACCATAGTTTGGGTGTACAGTTTGATGAGAAGAAAAAGAGGAGGCAGGGGGTATATAGGAAATCTCTGTACCTTTTGCTCAGTTTTGCTGTGAACCTAAAACTGCTCTAAAAAATAAGTTCTATTTTAAAAAAAAAAAAGGCATAAAAGAACTTCTCAAGTGCTATCTTGAGTTTAGTAGAATATGACATTCCAATGCCAAAATTATAGGGCTTTGAAGAACCAAAAGTTGCAATGGAAGAGCCACATGCTGGATATTATTGATATAAACAACTGGGAACAGGGGTATGTGTTACTTCTCTTGGGAATATTTTCACAGAGATCAAAAATATTGGAAAGAAATCTCTTAGGGAAAATTTTAGACATGAGGGAACAGGAGTGGACACGTGGATTAGGGGGAACCAGACCCTTTGAAAATGAATCAAGAAAGGAAGTCCTTATTTGACTTGTTAAGTTTTATCTTTTTCCCAAGACATACTATCAGTACTATTCTAAATTTTTTTGTCTTTAGTAAATTACATTTTCTAATTAAAAAATTAATAAATGCTTACTATGGAAAAGTGGGTAGTAGAAGAGTGGCAAGTGGGACTTAAAATAAAGGACAAATCCCTCATCAACTTCCATGCAGAGATTACCCTGCTACGTCCTGCCCTGGTAATTCAAAGTGGCACATGCCACTCGCCAGCACACTGGGTTCCCTCTCATCTCCTCATATTGCTTTTATTTTATACCCTACCTTGTGGCACTCTCTGGCCCCACGGATGTCCCCAGAACTAACTTGGTTGTCGATTCCAGCCAATTCGTAACCCATCCATCAATTTGCCACCTCAAGACTGAGCTCCCTCTGCAGATAAGCAAACTATCCAAGTTCCCAAACAGAGTGACAATATTTCCTAGGCTTCACAACCCAACCTCACTCCTACTCCCAAAAACACACATACTGAAATTCCACTCACATACCCGCAATTATATTTAAGGTTATTGGTCACTAAGGAAGAGAGAAATTCTCTCCACTTAATTTGTAACCACAGAACACCAACCAGATCTTCAACGGCCTTTTGATTTCAATCCTCTGAGGCTGACCACATTCACAAATTAAGTTACTTCACTTTAGTTGGTTCTTATTTTTTGCCAGACTCTGGGCTCCTTTTTTTTGATCTTTCTCATAAACATGAAAAATGAACAGAATCACTTAGTGAAATGGTATTTAGAAGCTTCAAAGTTTTGTCATAGTTATTAAACTGAGATAGTAAATATTTTTCTCTTGGAGAATTTTAACTTTTAACCACTGCTGAAGAATGAAACGATATTGT